GGATGCGGAACCGGCTCTGCCAGCCGTGGATAGAAGCGAGCGCTGGCACTTGGGTAAAGCTGTTGTAACAACCCAGGAAAGTGTGTTTGGGCTGAACCCGCAGCCTGTGATGTCTGTTCCCGTTGCTGGCAGGTTTTCAGCACCATTGTTGAAATAGGAAAGGAGCAACTTTGCAGAATTTGCTTCCAAGCTTCGTTGAGAAAGAGGCAGCTTCTTAAACGAGCGGTTTCCTCACGGTTGGTGTTTTATAGGGTACTGAGCTGTAGCGTGATTATTGTATATCAGCTAATTTGCAAACTCTTCCTGCAGGATGGTTGCCTGGATTACCTGTTTGTTGCTCTAGTTTTTTTTTGCCTTGATTCTCATTTGCTGCCATGGTGCCAAGTGGCTCCATTTCTCATAACAGAGACAGGAATCACCCGGTCACTGTTGTTGTGTGTTAAGGGCTGGGATTTAATGGAGTCTGTTTGGGAAAGGTGTGAAACTGCCTGAGTGTGAAGTTGCTCATTCAGGGTACGGTAACAACGTGTGGTTTATGCTGGTGTCAGTTGCTTGTGTGCATGCTGAAAGCTTTGGCTCTGCTTTGATTGGGCTTTCTGAGCATCTGTGCTCTAGGATGGCACTGGCAGCTGGATTGCTTCCTGCGAGGGATGGAAGCAGCCCTTCTGCATAGGGAGGACAGGATCTGTCTGTGCAGGCTGCTTTGCTCCTCTACAATTGTCAGCTCTGTAGGTCTTGTGCTGCAAATGGGCTTGGAGTGGTTGGTGTTTCCAATGAGCTGTTAGATGTGAACACTAGAAGGCCTTGTTTGATATAAGGGGGGTGGGAGGAAAGAGCCAGCTGAATGGAGACAGGACAACTCCAGGCTATGATCTGCTGAAGGGCAACCAGTGCTTCTGTCCCTGCCATTTCTCTTGAGTGGCTACCAGTTTTAGATACCTACAGATTACCTAGTCAGATTTTTTCTGGATCTGGGTTCTGGGATGCAGAGCTGATACAAGGAAACCTCATAGAATGAGTTTCAAGTGACCAGGTCTTCAGCTTCACTGCCAGATGGCTTTGCTCCTTGGTGTCAGCTCTTGTCCTGAGCAGAGTTGGGATTAAAAAACTAGGAAACAGCTACATTAAGTTTCATGCTGTAGAAAGAGGATACTTCTACCTCTGGCTCTGGACAGTGATTCTGAGCTTTAGGTGGGTGACTGGAGTTCTTACAAATATGGTAAATGGTTCTTGTGAACTAAAATCAGGGCCCCAAAATAGTGAGTCTGATAGTAGGGTTACTCCTGCAAGCCAAGTGGTGTGCTGAGGGGACAGATGTGATTCTGAATGTATTTTTCAGGTGTTAAAAATGTCAAGTTTACCAGGTAAGGATACTAAGCTAATGCTGCAGTTGTACCATATACCAGCAAGTATCTGTAGCGCTCTGGTGCTTTTCTGTTTTGCCCACTGCAGTATCTGAGGTGCCTCTAGATTGCAGAATCCACTGTCTACATTGGCAATCCCAGCAGTAATCTTGCTGATGTTTTAGGGAAGGCTTGTTTGTGTTTCTCCCTTTTAATTCAACTTTCTGAATTTATTCTCAAGCTGTTGCATTTCTTTACTAAAAGCTGAGGCACTCAATTCTGTTTCTCTTTTCCTCTCCAGGAGGGTGCAATGGATTTACTGAAAGAACTGAAAAGTATGCCTATGACTTTGGATTTACTGCAGGTGAGTTGCACAGTTGGGGTAAAAAGCTGAAGTCTGCATCAGGATGAGTCGAAAATATTGTCTGAATAAACTAATAGTTTCCCTCACTTCTTGCCTCACTCAAAGTATCAAAATAAATATTAAATCCAGAAAATAATACTGAAGCTGGGTTTTGAACTGGCAGTTAAATAGTTCTGGGCCACCATGTGCTGTCTGAAACTTGTACCCAGCTGATGTGGGTAACTGTGGGTAACTGCTCCAATCCTTTCTTAGGTTTCAAAAGAGGAAAGACCAGATTAAAGTAGCAAACAAAGGGCAGTTGTGGGAGAAGTTCTTGAAGTCTTTGTAATGGTGATATTCAGGATACTGGGGAGGTGTGAACAGAATTACAATTCAAAGATTAAGTTATGCGTCTTGGATTTTTTCACTCTGAGCTTGAATGTCACCTCTAGATGTGTGGGGAAGGTATTTGTGGGTGGTTGGATGTCTGGAGCTTCTGATCACTTTGAGTAAGATGGTGATTCTCATCTTGCTCTTCCAAAACTGTAAGATAATAATTCTGCAAGTCCTTGGATACTTCATATCTTGGTGGTTGCTTTGACTTTGTCATACTTATTTCTGGTTTTCAGTTAGTAACAAATAACGAATCTGTTCCTGAATGATTCATTTGAATGTTCACTTGCAGTCCACCCGCATTGGGATGTCAGTAAATGCACTGAGAAAGCAGAGCACAGATGAAGAAGTGATATCGCTTGCCAAATCCCTCATCAAATCTTGGAAAAAGCTTTTAGGTAAGAAAATCAGCATGCCCCTATCAGATTCAACTTGTGAAGGAGCTGGCTTCAGTGGGAGGCTGAGTTTCTCAGGAGAGCTTGTCTGTTGATCTACATAGAATATTCTGGCAAATCAATCTTTACAATTGCACCCTCTGTCTCTCAGGTTTGTCTCTGACTGTGCATTCCTCTAGATTTAGCTCCTGTTGTCAACCCAGCAGCTAGCACCTCCCTGAAAGAAACCTTCAGGACTATTCTCAACATGTACCTGTCCATTTAATAATTACCAGCATTATCTGTAGAAATAATATCTGCACTCTGAACCATCCACCCTTTCCTTGTGCGCTGTGTGGCATTAGTACAGCGTGTGCTGTCAACCTCATGCAACAGCTTGGAAAGAGAAATGCTGGAATGCGTTTTGAGTGATGAGTTATAGAAGGATCTTAGTTTAACACCTTCTAGACAAATCCACGTGGGCTGTTTCCTGCTGGGGAGGCTTTCCTGGTGAAGGACCCTGATAAGCAGAAGGTTGTAATTCTGTCTGAGAAATCTTAACACTGCTACAGTGCAGACAAATGTCAGAACTACAGATGGAGGAGATGGAGGGATTACAAGTATGGTTTTAGTGGTTAACTTTGTGGTAAAAGAATGAGGCATCTGCCATGCTGAGACTGGAAGGGCAGCTCTACTTGTGTCCTGCTAGCAAGACCTTGTGTCTCCTGCTCTATGCTTGTGGCAAAGTACCCCAATGTGAAATTCAAACAGTTCTTATTTTTTTAAACAGATTTTTTGGGCAGCTGTGTGTAAAAAGAACAAGAGCAACGTGGTGTTTGAGGTGAAATTAAATGTGCAGCTGGCTCTAGTCTGCACCCCATTTCTGGATAGGCTAAATCAGTGTCAGAAGCACTGTTTTCCTGTCCTGGCTGGGACTGTCACTTCCACCTTAGGTTTGATGTGTATTGCCCAGGCTGAGACAATTGACCTCTGGGTCAAGCTTGTTCTACAGTGTAGTGAAAGTTCTCTCCAGGGCTGTGCTGTTGGCTTCCAGCAGCATTTAGGAAACACTAGAAGTTGTGTTCTGAGAAGGACTCGCTGGTACTGGCCCTTCAGGTGATGTTGGCTGGAAATGCTGCTTTTAGTGGTGCTTTAGAGAACTTGATCTAATCTGGACTCAGCAGCCAGGATGTCTCTGAAAGAAACTTTTGTGCTGAGGCATGTCTTGTGAGGAAGCTGTATATCTCCTAGGGAAGGGGATTGCTCTTTAGCTTGGTGAGGAAACCTTTTGTTTGAATTAGTCTCTCCTTAGAGGCAAGCAAAAGGTTTGTTGGAAAGCATGGAAGGCCTTAAAAGTGTTCTTTCTCCTCATTCTTTTTGGAGAATAATAACTTGTCTTAGGTTAGCACTGTATAGTTGCAGGGTTGTAGCATAAAGACCAGTTCTGAACCCTTTAACATCCATTTCTTTTTTGAATATAGATGCTTCTGAGGAAAAAAGCGAAGAGAAGAAGAAGAGCTTGTCCTTGCCAACATCTTCCTCGAAGGAGACTGGTAACTCAAGAGACCAAAGGTAACGCTTCCCTTTAACCAAAGATGACACTGTTTCAGAATTTGAGTGTTCTTAAGGCACCTTACATTATTTTTTTATTTTTAAGTGTCTAACTTGTGAATTTTATGTAGTCAAATTCCTGGTCAGAAACACCTCAAGTGTGGACTTGTTCAGAGGTGATGTGTGATGTTTTTAATAAACTGTAATGCAGAAATATACATCTACAAACTACAGTGGCTTTAGTGAGTTTTTTGATTTTTATTCACATCTTATTTCATGTTTTTCTACTCTTGGTTACATGTTGATTTTCATATTCATGAAACATTCCTCTGTTCTTTTTTTTGTGTTGCATTTTTTATATTATTTTTGCTTATTTTCAAGTTTGAACTCCTTAGAATGAAGATTATTTTTGGCCTTTTGCAATCTCAACTGATGGATGGGATTGATTCAAACATCACTATAGTAAAACTTCAATTTCTTTGTCCTCTTCTCAACGAGTCTCAGCAGAAGTCCTCTTTTCACTCTGGACTGATGTCCACCCATCTGGCAGGTCTGCTGCACGCTTGCTCCTTGCCATGCCTTGAGTGTTGCATCCTGTTTCCACTGTCTGTGACTGCACTTGCCAAGCCCTTGTGTGGAGGCAGTGATCAAAGGGGAGGGGGAAAAACACAATTTAAAACATTGTTCTGGAGGTGAGAGACTTCTCTCAGCCTCAGATCCAGGGTGTGTGCTTTGTAGGTTTGATCCTGAAGTGATTTAGCCAATTTACCAAGTGTGCCAGAAGTAATTAAGGCTGTAGTCCTGCTGGTTTGCAGGCTCTTTGTTTGTACCCTGTCTCTGGTCACTTTCTTGTCACTCAACCCTTTATTTTCCTTCTTGGTTCAGATCTCTCAAGGACTGACACTTTGGGGTGAGCCTTTGCAGCTCTACGCAGAGCTGCTGGTGGAGGTGGCTGTTGGTAACTTTATTTGCCTCACATCTTTGGTTACCTCACTTCCATAAAACATGAAGAAGGATTTGCTTAGTGTTGCAGTGAAAGTACTGGGGAGACTTCACAGCCAGAACTGAGTCTTGTAGTGATGTCGTGCAACACAGGAGCTGGGGCTGTCTAGATCTGTGTGTGTGACACATCCAGTGGCACTTGTTTATGACAGTGGAAGGGCCATACAAGCAGCAGGATGAAGCCTCCCAGCTGCTGTTTCCTTTTACCCCATTAAGAGGAGATGAGGGTTGGAGGCCAGAGAGTGATAGTGGAGAAGGGATGGCTTTGTAAGCTGAGAGAGTTGGTCTGAGCAGTATCACCAGCCTCGTGATGCAAATACCTTCTCTTCCTGATCCTTAGGCTGTAAAGTGCAGACTGGTACCACCTTCCCCAGGGTGTGGACACAGGAAGGAGCTATTGCAGGGCTGATGAGGGTGGGGACCGAGTCAGTCATGGCTAAGAGCCTCTGTGCGTGCCCTTACTGGTAAAGAGAGGAAGATTTCCCTCCAGGGTAAGGGCAGAAGCTTTTGTGGAAGCACTTGTTGGCTGTTCCTGATGGGGAAAGGAGAAGGTGAGTATTACTGACTTGGCTGGTAACTGCTCAAGCCAGGAAGTAGTACTGCAGTTCAAAGAAAAAGGGAAGCTTCTGATTTAACTTTTGGAAAGTTGACCTTGGGGAATGTGGAGCCTGGAGGGAAGGAAGTGTGAGACATTCCCTGGACACGGTGGCAGTAGGCAGTTCAAGAGCAAAGTGAGCTGGGCCTGCTAGGACATCTGGTTTGAAGGCTGAGACTTGTAGTAATTTTACTCAGAATAGAATCCTGGCTGTAGGTAGAGGCAAAACCCCACTGTCTCCTCGCTTTGTCAGACAGTTACTGTGGGGTGCATGGAGTGGAGCTTTCCAGCTTGTGCTGCTAACCCTCCCCTGTGCTGTGAGGATGTGCTGCAGCTCCTGCAGGGTTTTTTTTCCCCCTCCTTGATGCTTTCTCTGTGCTAGGACTCCATCTTCTAAATGACAAACCGTTTCCCTGGTTGTGCAGGATAAACAGAAGCAAATGAATTATTTTAGACAGGCAGAAGTGGCTTGCTCCTGGTGTCAGTCTGTGGAGCCATGCTCTCTTTACAGGGACAGGAATGGTGATTTCTCCAGTGCTGCAAACTACTAATCTACCCTGGCAAAAAAAAAAATATTAAAAATTATTAGCAGCAAAGAGTTTTTGAAGCACAGGCTGCGATGACAGGAGCCTGACTAGTTGCTCAGTGTGTGATAGCTGGTTGAGATGAGGCTGCTATCAAGACACCAACGAGATCAGCTTGTATTCAGATATTTCAGCCACTTAGTCTGATAGATTTTGGCTAGGCCTTCCTCTTCTGTCAGGGAGAAATACTTGAATAGCTCTTGGCCTGAAATTTGTCTTGCTTTCTGGAACACAGATGTAGAAATACCTCTGCAGTGACTAGAGAGCTAATGCTGTGAGACCTGAAGGCTCTGGGCCAGCCAGTGTGGAGCTGGCACCTGTGAAGTTCCATGCTGCATTCCTGTAATCAGAGGCATATTCTCTTGTGCTGTAGTATTTTAGACCATTAGTGTAGTACTTTTTAATGGGCTATGTCTAATGTTTCTCTGTCTCTGGCAGCATGAGCTCTTTCTTTTCCAGGATTCTCTAAACTCCCTTTATTAGGAGGTTTTGGATCTGTGGCCTGAATTCAGCTCTTCTGTGGGATTTTCTTGCAGTGCAGCCCTGAGTTCTGCTTGCAGTCCCTGGCTGTTGCTTTGCCACCATTTTGTTCCAGTGTGGTCTTTCTTATGTAGAAACTTTTCCTGCCTGAAAAGATTTACAAACTCTTTCTCCTATTTAACAGAAACAGTGTGAACCAGAAGGATTTCCTGAAATAAGTCTTCTAGGTGTGTTTGAGGTCTACTTCCCAACTATTCTAATTATAAACTAACTTCTAAAGCTTAATAAATCACTTTCTGTACAGTCTTTGGAATGACTGAGATGCATTTCATCTAATTTGTGAGTGATCAGTTGTCATCTCAGGGCACGTATGACATGTATGTGTACGTAGGCGAATGTCTTTACTCATCAGCTAACAGAAGTGGGATAACCATGCATCTTGTCTAGCTTTTTTCCACCTCCAGGGAATAAACATCTAAATATATATATATATATATGCCAATAGCATTTGCAGATAGAACCTTCCCAAAAATCAAGTATTACCTCTGCAAATCAAGTATCACCTCAGGACTAGTTTAAAGTCCTGACTTTTGTGTTGAATGTGGTGAAGGTCAGTGAGAGCTCACATGCAGTGCTTTGCTCTGGGAGACCTTAGTGTCACTGTTGCTTGTGAAGTGAGACAAAAGTTAAAGCTAGAGGAGCTCTCAGGAAAGCTTTTCCTGCCACCCCTTCCCTGCACAGCACAACCTCTGCCCAAGCTGTCCCTGACAGGCCTTTCTCTGAGCACTTCTTTGACAACCCTAAAAAACCTCAGCGTAAGACACTTCCACAGCTGCCCTTGGCAGCTAATTCATAACTAATTCATAACTCACTTTTACCAAGTCTTCCTTGCTTTTGATCAAAACCACCTTGCTAAGACCACTCCTTCATGCCTTTAGCAACTGTGGATGATTTTTCCTACCATCTTCCTTTGTAACAAATTTTCTAGTATTTGAGGACTTCTCCAAGTCTTCCCTGCTGCAACCACTGCAACTCCTTCAGTCTTTCCTTTTATCATAGATATGCTTCCGAGTCTTTTTGCCTTTATCCTTTGGGAAATCTCATTTTTCCAAACTTGTTTTATGCAACATGATCAGCTGTGATTTTTAGATGAGTTATTCCTGAGTTGTGTGTGCTTTGCAGTGTACACCTGCACGTGTGCTGCCTGTGATCTCTGCATAGCTCCTTAAGCACAAAAATACCTGATGGCATTTTGTACATCCCAGATGGGAGAAGTTCCTGATCTGATTGATTGTTTGCAAGCTAAGTTGTTTGTTCTTTTTTTTGATATGTACAATATAAATCCTATTGAGTGTTTTCAGCTGTTTGGACACAAAGCTGTTCCTTAATAGCCCCCTGCAGTGCTGACCAGTAAAACTAGCTGGTAAAAGTGTTTTTATTCAACTACTGTCAAAGAGCAACAGGAAGCTTGCAATATAATCTCCCTTGTGGAGTGCATCTGTTTAATCTGAGCAAGAAATCTTCTGTTATGGTTTGAGCTGAACAATTTGCTGAAGGTGCACTGGTGGATGGATGCTTCTGAAAAGGACCTGGTGAGGTTTTGAACTGTGGAAATCCAGTAGCCCTGATGGTGATCTACAGGCTTTGAGGCACTGCAGAGCCAGACTTGGCTTTGAACTTAGCAGCAGCAGGGTCTCCCAGGAGAAGTCCTTGGAGTTGTCTGGCTCAGTGTTTTTTTACAGCAGTAGATTCAGAAGGTTTTCAGCTTAGCACTGTTTTAATGTGAGGTGACTAATCCCTTCCAGGACAGTGTAGTGGAAGTGCCTGTTCAGAACAGATTTATTTTTAATGGTGTAGAACTGGCAATAATGACCCAGCTTAACAGCAGTTGTCAAGCCACTTGGATCTTTAAGATGTTGCCAGTATGGCATGGGTGAAATATCAGGGTTTCTTTTTTTTTTTAAGATTTTCCTTTGTCTTACTGTATTAGTGTTACCAGGCATTGGCCATAAATACAGAGCATTTTATGGCCCAAACACCAAAGTCAGAGCAATCTCTGTGGGGGGGAAAAAAAAAAACCATGCAGTTCTGCTCCCTAGATTTAAGGAGGGGGGAGGAAGCTCTATAAAATCATCTGGGAATCATAATAGCCTAAATCTTTTACCAGCAGTATTTGCAGGGCTAACTAACTCTACATGCAGATGTTAAGACTTTATGGGTGAGATGTCTCAACACCGTGGGTTACACCCGGTTGAAGTGCTCAGGGAGGTTACTCCAGCATGCAAACCTCGCCAGCCTGCGCGGTGATTGTTCACCTCTGGTCTGAGGCAGCCACAGCAGGCAGGTATTTGCATTCCTTTGCCTGTGCCCACGATTGCTTACAGGTGGAAATGAAGTTATTTTCATGAGAGAAGCAGTATTTTAGTCCTGTGTCAGCCTGGCACCCGTGTGAGCTCTGTGTGGTTGTGTAGGGGTTGCTCTTCTCTGAGGTGAGTCATCAGAGAGTCTTGTCCAGGTTGTAGGAAAAAGGAAGATCCTCTAATGTGTTAAGCCTTGGGGGTTTTTTGGTTGTTTTTTTAATATTGATGCTGAAGGAGCCATTTTCTTTTTTCTTTAGCATGACAGCTCCTTCTTCTGGAGGAGCTAGTGTAGGCTTCTCTTGTTTCTGCCCCAGAAGGCATCGTGCTGCACTTGTCGTCAACTACAGAGAGCTAGAGTGCTGTTTTGTTTAGCTGTTCTCTTTCCTGCTGCTGACATCTTGATAGGAAAGGATGTGAGATGAGCAACCAGCTCCAGCACTTGCTGAGATGAACCTTCCTGGTGCCTTCTGCTCCCTTTCTGCTGAGAGCAGTTGTGGACTTTGTGTCCTGTAAAGTGAGACAGGAGAAAAGCGCCGTGTCCAACGGCTTCGTCATATTTTCATTTGATGCCCAGTGGTGCAGAAGCTGTGGTACATGTTCAGTGACAGAAGCTGGTTGGCAGGTTTGCTTCATGGATTAAACCCTTCATTTACAGCCAGCAGAGTCCCCAGGAGAGCTCGTTTCTGGGTTGGTGGTGTTGGTTGTTGGATTGTACTATGTGCTGATTCAGGGCACGTGTCTCTGCACTGCTTTCCTCTGACTGGTTTTATATTATGATTAACAGGATGCTTGGCCACATACCTGCTGATTCCTTCTGTGCTTTCAGTGACCTGAACTGAGACATTCTGACAGATGAAGTTTCTCTTTTTAGCTCCAACAAAAGGCAGGAGCCTCCAAAGACTCCGACCACCCCTAAAATCACCACCTTCCCTCCGGCGCCCGTCACCTGCGATGCTGTCCGCAACAAATGCCGAGAAATGCTGACAACAGCTCTGCAGGCTGATGGTAAGTGCTGAGGGAAACCCTGCACTGCCTAAAGCACTTCACAGCTCCTGGTGCCTCCTGACAGAGACCTCTGCATGTAGATAAACACCAGCTCCTCTTAGATATGCTCTTCTGGAGGAGCCTTCTGATGGGTTATTGCCATCGTCTCAGTCTAGCCTCTGCTCACCCCTTTGTCACACGGGCTGGCATTGCAGTGTTTATAGACACTTGCTATCAAGTGTCTATAAACCTGTCTTGAACCAGAGGCACAGCAATGTGTCAGGCAATGGCTGTTAAGAATGTGGGGTCTTCTGCTCTGCAGCCTGGGGTGATCTGGCCAGAAGTTTCACCTTCAGGTCTGTGGGTATTTCCTTCCCTTTCTAGATCTCAGTCTTGTCTGATTGCTGGAAGGTGAAGCTGTCATCTCTGCTTACCCTTGAGGCACAAAATGAAGCTGTAACTCACTATTTGTAATTTGTTGGTAATAGTGCTTGTGCCAGTCACCATCTGCTTGTAGATTTCCCTGCCCATGCAGACTGCAGCTCCTTGAGTACCCTGGTCCTCTGTGGATCTGGGGTGGAACAGGTCTCTCTGGCACTCAGGCTGTGCCATCTAAAATGAGAAGCAACTGCAGGTGCTCAGCATCTCTGAAAGTCAGATTTTAAACCCCTCAAGCTGCACACATGCTTGTGTCCAAATTGCTGATCCCTTTGGAAAATTGAGGTCTAAGCACTGCAGAGTTTTATTAATTTGGAGCCAAGGAATGTAGATGGCAGATGGAGAAGTTCACAAAGCCTGTATTTCTAGCCTTCCTGTGCACAAGTATGTGTTCACATATATATATATATATATA